GCTACCATGCCTGGCTTTCCTTCATTTTTTTTCCTGGCTAGATAGATTTTTATTTCTTTCATTTTCCCTACAAAATTTTTAAGAAATCCCCTGATAACATGGGAATGCATTGCAGGAAAGGGATCTGACAATCATGTAGATTTTTTCTTTCTTTAAACAGAACTGCAATAAAGTCTTGGGGGCACTCAAGGTTGTATACATTTCCTTCGTTCTGAGAAACTTTCAACACTTATTCCAAGGCAAGTTGACTAGTGACAAGTACTCTAAATTTGTCTCTGTTGAAGACAGTTTTGTCTTTATTTCTTTCCCCCTTTGAAGGAAGTTCTGTTATCTAAGGAATTCTAAGTGGGTGTTTTTCTTTTAGAGTTACATACACTTAACTCTCATCTGTATTTTTCTTGCTTTCATGGTTTCTTGAGAGAAGTCTAATCGAATCTTATGCTTACTTTCCTGCTGAAAGAGTGTCCTCCCTAATTACTTTTTTTTTGAGTTCTTTGTCTTTGCTATTCCACAGTTCAAATATAATAAACTTAGGCACACAGATTTTGGTATATATAGTAGTTACTTTTCCCATCACCATCTCTAAATACTGAACTAGAAGTACCTGAATGAAGCAGTGCTTATATTTGCTTGCATTTGGAGTAGATGCAGTTGATCATGGAGGGGAAGGCATGATGCAGGGTTGCCTCCAGCTGTGGAGGTTGGAGAATAAATCTAAGGGTAAATGAAGCAGAGATGGGTTAGGGAGTGGGGCCAACCGCAAACCTCGATGTCTACTCCTAACGGTCCATGTCCTCCAGTGAGGCTCCACCTTGCTAAGTGTCTACAACCTCACAAAACAGCACCGACAAGTGCAGACCAAATGTTCAATCAGACCCAGTAGGTTGGGAGAAACTCTCCATATTCAAATGAGACAGTATTCACCCTACTGTGAGCTTCGAGGTCTGCAATATGTTTTCTGACATTAAATTTGGAAAGCTGTCAGCCATCATTGCTTCGAATATTTTCTCTGTGCTTTGTTTTTTCTTTCTTCTCATCTGGTATTCTTCTTACATGTATGTGACATCTTTTATAACCATCCCACTGTTTGGGGGCTGGGATTCTGTTGTATCTTTTTCTTTCTTGTGTTTTACACTTTGCAATTCAGTTTTAGCAGATTCTATTGGTTCAGGTTCACTAATTCTTTCTTCAGCAGTATCTAGCCGCTAAGCCCACCAAGACATTTGTCTTTCTGTTGCTCTGTCTTTGGGTTTCTAACATCCTTTACATACCATATTACAGACTCTATTTCTCTCCATATACTAAGTTCTTGTATGCTGTTCACCCTTAGCATGCCAGCCATGGTTATTTTACATTCTTGGTCTGATAAATAAAGACATATTCAGTCATCTGGGTCTGGTTCTGATGGTTTTATTGTCTCTTCAGAGTTTTGCCTTTTGGCATGACTTGGATTTCCACTAAAAACCTGACCCAATGTATTTGGTGAGAGGATTTGAGGTAGTGGGTAGGCCTTTGGGCCAAGATGTTTTTACTATATTCTGTAACTGTGATGTCCGAGACAAAAATTTCCTCTAGCATCCTTATTTTTGTCCCCTCTTTCTTTAGACTTCCCCAGAAATTCCTCAGATGGAATCTATAACTTTCACGGCCTTTATTTGTAATCTTGTCACCCAAGAACCCTGTAAACATGATCTTAAAATACACAGAGATGGGAAACACTCTCTGGTCTTTTGATAGGGTCTTGGTCTTTCTGAGTTAGATATTTTCTCTGATTGGTGCTTGCTGAAACCCCAGTCTGCCATGGGCTGATGAAATAGTTCCTCTTGCAGACAGAACTTGTTGGTGAGCTGATTTCAAATGGTTACTTTCCCTAGTCTCTTCCTTCCCAGAAGGGAGCTGTCTTCAGCCTTCACAGGGAGAATTTCGAGGTGAGGTAAAATTTGAGCAAATGCAGGGTGCTCCCTAAGACTGGGCCACTCAGAGGCTTTGTCTCCCAGACAAGTCTACAACTGTTCAGTAATTTTCCAGTTCTGTCCACTCCATCCTTACCGATACCGGCCCTAGTTGTGGGCATCTGCATTCCACAAGTGTTTGACTTGTTGATGTTTAGTTTGTTATTTTCTTTCCTGTGACGATGGAAATATTTACTTTATACACTAGACTGCAAACTAGAAGCCTGTACTGTCTTCTTCTATTTTTTTCTTGTCATCTTATAGATTGTCTTTCATAAGCCCCAGGTTCCAGCACCTCACACTCTGCAGATCAGTGTTTCAGACAAGGTATTCTCAACTGGAGTAGGGATTTGGGAGTCAAAACCAAAGGCAAAGACAGAAACAGGAACGCACAGAAAAGATGCCCAAGTTCCAACTGTATCAGTTAAACCAGGGTCTTGGGAAAGCATTTTTACATCGCATAAGGTCCCTACGTAATTTAATGTGCTTCTAGAGTAGAGAACTCTCTTCTTCCAGACCTAGATGCTTGATTGGCTTCTGGTCAATGCCAGGGGTAGACTAGCATCTCTGATAGGTTACCCACAGTTCCACAGGAAACCGACAAGACAGAATAGACCCATCACTCCCGCTCCTGGTCGAGAGGCACAGCTCAGGGAAGGTAGTGTATAGGTAGAGCAGTAAGGCGGCTTCACGATCCTGGCCTAGTGTTCGCTTCCTCTGGGATACTCTCCCCTTTAGTGTGGGGTGGACCCAGAAACAGAATATGGCAGAAACATTGCAATCTGGATCAGCTGATTTTGTGTTTTTCTGAAGGGCGATTGACCTACTTGATCTCCAGTCACATAAAGGATGTTTCTAATGGTTGTGTCTCCAGGAAAACATCCAGTTCTGAAGGAGCAGGACCCAATCAGAAGGTCCAGAGAGTGTTTACTCTCTCCTGGCACTTTGAGATCCCACAAAAGCAAATAAATACCTTATGTATGTACCCTGAGACCTTGAACAAAGGCCTCAGCTAACCTGTCTGCAGACTTCTAATCCACAGAAACCGTGAGATGAGGAATATGTACTATTTAAAATTTAGCTTAGTTCATGTTTGCAATTGGTCACTCGGTGACAGAAAAACTAACACAGATAGCACATACTGGAAAATCAACTGTGTAGTTAGATGTATGGAGGTTTATGTCTTAACTCTGCTAGTAGCTGCATACCACTCTGGTGAATTATTTAGGATCATTGGGCTTCAGTTTTCTGTCATAAACAGGACAGAAAAAAATTATTCTTCCCTTGCTGGAATGGAATTGTGAGACATGAAGATGTGTGCATGTGTTCAATGCGGGAAGCTCTCGTGGGCTCAGAGTTGCTATTCTCTCTCTCTCTCCCTCCCTCCTTCCCTCTTTCCCTTCCTTCCTTTCTTCCCTCATGCTTTCTATCCTTCCTTTCTTTTTCTTTAATTTTCCAAGACAGTGTTTTTCTGTGATGCCCTGGCTGTCCTGGAACTTGTTCTGTAGACCAGGCTGGCCTTGAAATCAGAGAGATCCACTGGCCTCCTGAGTGCAGGGATTAAAAGCACCACCACCTTCTGACTGAGTTGCTATTCTTATGAGCTCTGTGATGATACTGTGATTGCAGTGGTGGTGTCTGAGGGTGCTTTTAGCCTTCCCAAGGAAAGACGCAGCTTCTCCCAACCCCCCCCAAAGAGAATAACCGTACAGGGAAAACTCTGCTGAGGTATTGCAATTACATTCCAGCTTTTTTTCAGCAGGCGTGCCCTCTTAAAGGGCAGGCTTTGTAAAGGACAATTTGAATTTCTCCTGCTTGCCTGGGAGCTTTTTCAATTCATATTTCCCTCCTTTTCAGATTTACAACTGACACAGATTTAGAGTCTTAAATATTAGAATAATAGCTTCAAAGCAATTTATAGCACACAGGTTGTCTCCATGAACATCGTCCGGTTTGTTCCTCACCACATGCTGTGAAATAAGCCCCTTTTCCTCAGGTTTATGAGCAAAGCAATGGAAGCTCACAGAATGTAGATAGCTTGTCCAAAGTTCCAAAGCCGCCGAGGGGCATAAACGCGCATTTGTTTTAAGGCCCAGGCACCGGTCTGCTGTGCTTCCTCTGTACCATGTGCTTGGCTTTCTGAGTCTTTTCTTCCCCAAGACACCCAGCCCACTTGGTTCATTGCCTCTGAGGGGCTCGGCCCCTGTGTCTGTCAAACCAGAGAACTAGTGAAGACTATTACCAGCTCATAAAACCAGCCGCCTGATCACCATGTTGCCTAGGTCATGTCTTAGTTTGGATTGTGGGCACGTGTGAGTCTCATGGACAAAGCTTTCCTGTCCCTTAAGCATCCAGGCTTGTTACTGAGCACTTTCACTCCCAGACGTTCTCAGTACACGCATGCGTGTGTGTGTGTGTGTGTGTGTGTGTGTGTGAGCTTGTTCTCCTTAAAATAAAGGCTTAATGCCTTTTGAACAAAGAAACAGACACACAAAAACAGAATAATAAAACTTAATAATTTATTATCAACAAAATTAAGAACTTGAAAACATGAGAGTATGGGGAGGGGCTCATCAGAGGGCACCAGAAAATGCCAAGATAGTGAGTAACTATATTTGCTAGGATAAACTACAGCGTCCCTAGGATTGCTTCTTTGACTCACATTTCGTTCTCTCATTTGTTGGAACTTCTGAGGATTCTCTTCCCCACTGTTTTCATGACAGACTTGACAGCCATTCTGCTCTGTGACCTGTAACGAGCACAGTACAGGTGAGTTCCACACATCTGCACTCTACACATGGCCAGAGTGATTGATTTTAGGACTGGGAAGCTGGTTCAGCCCCTGGCAGTCGGATGCTGGGATGCTGGGATGCTTCAGTGAGCTTCTGTCAAGCCCCGAGAAAGTCTTGCCTTCCACCGCTATGTCCTGGGCTCCTTTCTTCTGTGTCCATTGTTGGAAGGCTGGGGGTAGGGGGAGGAAAGGCTTTGTCCCTTCCTCTCTTCTATGACATCACTGCAAATCTCTCAACTTTCCTCCAGGAGTTCTAACCTCTTTTTGTCTTGTTTTGTTTTCTTTTCTCATTTAGCTCAGCTGAGGAACTCACCATCTGTGAACAGTGAAATTCAACTCAGGAATTAAGGAAGGCACAGACAACAGGAAGATCCAAGTGCATCCACTCAAGTGAGCTGGAGTGTCGGGGGTTGTGTGCCCTGGCTGGGTCCGTTATGAGTTCTTCACTGTATACAAGTACTTTGAAGCTGGGGTTATAGTTCAGAAGGTAGAGTGATTGCTTAGAATGGATGAAGCCCTCCCTGGGGTTCACCACTGGTGTTCACAACACCACTTAAAACAGCCTGGTAGCACATGCAGATCAGGAGTTCAAGGTCACCCAGCACCATCAAGACTACAGAATAAAATAAAATCTTACAGGCTTCTAGAATTGAATTATTGGAAGCCAAGTTTTTATTGGAATGGCACCACATTATAAAATTCAGTATTGTTATTTGTGAGTTGGGCTCTGCCTGCTAACCGGCGTGTGATGGTGGGTGGGGCCTCAGAGAATCTCTGAGTGCCAGGTTACTCTTGGGAAGAATGAGAACTAGGCACCCCAGTCCCTACAAATCTATGACTCTAAGATCTAGTTTTATTTATTTATTTATTTTTTAAATTTAAGACGGTGAGGGAAACTTGATACTAGGGTCCATAACTTTTACTTCTTCCTCTTCACTCTGATAGCCTCAGCCACAAGAACTGGCTGGGCTGAAAGAGGCCAATTTGTGTTTCGTTCATCTCCCCTCACCTGCCGCCTCGGGTCCCGAGCTTCTTCCTCTGTTTAGCCTCGAGACCGGCCTCCTTCACGTGAGCAGCCTGTTGGCTAGCGGCCGCTGGAGCAGCTGCTACCACGGCAGCTCTGCTCATGCCCTAGGCTGACACATGACAACTTGTATTAGGCTGAGGCTCTCTGCGGGAAGCCGGTGAGCTCTCTCAGCCATCTCCCTTCTGTTCCACCATCTGCTGGCTCCCAGGGAGGTGGTGGCAGAGCATGGGTTAAAGAGGGTACCTGGAGTGAGGACATGGCGGAGGCCTAGAGTGCTAACATTCTCCCTCCTTGTCAGAGGCTGCCTGGCAGGAGTGGCACTTGTCCCTAAGAGAGCCTGAGATGGCTCAGGGTAGGCTGGCCCATGCCGAGGGCATCCAGTTTGTGGCCCATCATCCGTGCCAGGAGTCACCATGTAGAAGTCACATTTTGGCTTGGTTTAAACTTGATCCAGGTGCTTTACAGAGAATCTGTCAAGGGATTCTTGGCATGTTCTTTGTACTTGTTTGAATGTTGTGGCTTTTAATATCTCTCATGATTTTTAGAGGTGTGTGTGTGTGTGTGTGTGTGTGTTATACAGGTCCCTCCCATGCTCTATCAGGATGTTCTCATATACCAACCTAAAGTGGTGATCACATGTGATGAGGTGGAGCTGGGTAGGCTGGGTAAGGGTGGGGCTTGGGCCGAGGAGGGAGTGGGCCATGTGTTCTGCGGGTTAATGCAATGGGCTGGCACAGTGGGAGGCTGCTGTGCTGGGGCACTCTCTCTCAGCCAGTGGTCCCACAGATTCCAAGACGCTACAGCTTGAAGGGAGGGGCGGGAGTGTTGGGGAAATGGTCATTGCTCCTTCTTTTTCTGAAGCTGAAAATGAGGCTTAGGGTAGGCAGTGGCACCTACTCGGTAGGGGAAAAGGGACTAATGTGTGTGTATGTGTGTGTGTGTGTGTGTGTGTGTGTGTGTGTGTGCTTGTCTGTTTATATACTGCTTGGTCATATTGTTATAATGGGCATAGTGAAGAAATCTAGAAGTTTCTGCTAACTGGATGAATGAAGATAGTCCAGGCTTTCTGCCTCCAAGTTAGTCCTATGATTCTTCCTTCTCCACCAAGAAAGATCTGAGGTGGCTCATGATTAAGGTGACCATGAGCTGCAGATGGAGCAAGTGGTAGAACATTTGCCTAACTTGAGTTTGATCTCCAGTGATGAAAAGAAAGACCATATATTTCCATTTCTCTGTTTCTCCTCTTATTCCCTGATTCCCAGTCATTTCGCCAGAGTAGACACACATCACTTGTTACCCAGAATTTCTCATCTTCCTAGCATGCCTCTTTTGAGGGAGGGGTGCTGGCAGGCTCTTATCCACAGTATTGCAACAACTGGGCTACATCTTCACTCTCAAAGGCCTTTTGTTGATCCTTAAATATTTCTGTTTGTCCAGGTTGCCTCTGGGACACCGATCTCACACTTTCCCAGAAGACTTTGATGAGTTCTTGCACACAGGTGTTGGAAAGGCTCATGGACAGGTGCACGAAGTAGTTCAGCCAGGATTGCCTGTGGCTTAATAATGGACTTCAAAAGTAATTACATGGGATTCATTTTCTTTGTCCATAAAACAGCACAATTCCCGAGGAGCCTGAATGTCTCGAACATCTGCTTTCACAAGTTAATTTCAGGGGGAAGCCTGTTCTGTGCCCTGTTTGCCTCTTTTTCATTAACTTCTGTGGTGCTGTGATTAGGGCCACATCTGGACTGTACCACAGTGGTTGGACAGGCCAGATGTTCCACTGGGGAGATAGTGACTTACATTCAGGACTGCAGATGCCTTCCTCTGTGGTTTCCATTGGTTACCACTCTGTGGTCTCAGCAATGGGTTCAAGGAGTGCTCAAGGACACAGCAGGGCTAGAGACTCTAGTGTCTGGCGATAGGGGACTCTCTGTTTTGTCCTTCTTGTTACCCTACCTGGCAAGCAAGGCCTGGGAGGCCTGGGCACTGTAGTGGAAGATTCCTGACTTTCAGTACAAGGCTGAAATTGGATGACTTTATCTCAGATGGAGGGACAGTAAGGAGGTCTCCTTAGGAGGGTCAGACAGATGGGATGCCCGATCTTGGGGAAACATAGACTCCCATATCTTAGGGAGAGCTAGCTTTTAAAGATATATCATATAGAAACCAAAGTTTTGTCTTCCCCAAAGGGAGCAACCATCCCTGGCTAAATTTGTTCAGAGCTGTGGTCCAAGTTCTAGCTCAGTTCCTTGTCTTGTGTGACCTTGTGTAGGTTTCGTGGTCTCCCTCATAGGGTTATCTGGAGAATTACATGATATAATTCTCAGCATTATCAGAATATTGTGCCACAGTGGCGGGTGCTTGTAATCATAGCCTGCTTTGGGTACTAAGAATTTGATAGATGGAGCGCAAACTCATTCTGTGCTCTTGAGAAGACAGTGTTTGAGCAACAAATCAGTGGACCGGGAAGACAAAGAATTCTTCAGTCACTCTGCTGATCTCACCAGTGAATCATCTGATGATGGATGTTGGGAGAGTCCCTTCTAAAGAGAAGTTTGATGTCTCAGCCTCAAGCACACTTAGCCTTAGTAGACATTTCTTGAATTGTCCCAGTGTCAAAGAAAACACTGGGTGTGTGTATGTGAGGGACATCAGGCTCCTGTCCTGACGTGTTTATGGTGGTGAGTAAAGTTCATAGGTCACCTGTGAGTTCTGTCTCCCGGTCTCTCACTGCTAGGCCTCTCAGTTAGACTGTGGATGGTCTCGAAGACAACAAGAGCCAAAGTATCTTCTTGCAGACCCAGGAGGCCCCCAGAGGAAGGGCAGATGAGATCAGAAGGGTGAAGCTGGAGGGTTTCTTCTCTTAACTTTACGAATTATCACTTCATGGTCTGTATCCATTGTTCCACAGGACATGGCCATGAGAAAGAAACACTAAGGATTAGGGTTGACCAACTTTCTGGATGAAGCCTAGAGTCTAAACCTGTGGGTCATGACCCCTTTGGGGTCAAATATCAGATATTTTGCATATAAGATATCTACATTACAATTCATCACAATAGCAAAATTATAGCTATCAGCTAGCAGTGAAAATAATTTTATGGTTGGGGGTCAGCACAACCTGCGGAACTATATTAAAGAGTCGCAGCCTTAGGAAGGTTGAGAACCACTGTTCTAAAGGTGTTCTTGCTTCTGACCTTGTCCTGATGATATTCAGCCGTAATAAAGGACTTTTAAAAGAGCAACTTTATCTTCAGAGGGCACTGGGAGGATAGCTGTCTACAGGCTGGGGTAAAGTAAGTCACCTTGGGTGGCCTTTGTTGAGTCAACCCTCCTAGAATTCTTACACTGTTTTCTTTTATTGTTTTCTTTTACTCAAAACTCAAAGGCAAGGCTTAAGAGTGGTTCTAAGATTAATATATTAAAGATGTGGGTTCAGTCTTAACTCTTGTATAGACTCAGGGTACTGGACCTGAGTCTCCTTCTCTAGACTGTGAGGACCTGTGACATTAATGAAGTTCTGCTGGGAAAAGACATGGGATCGTATGTCAGGTTAAACAGTGTCAAGCTCCTCATCCTCTTTCTGCTCTTCCTCCTCTTCCTCTTCTTCCTCATCCCCCTTTCACTCCCGTGTCATCTTTTTTTTTTTTTTTTTTTTTTTTGCTTTTTAAAGCATTTTTCTAAATTGGTGGTCCTTGCTCAAAAAAAGAGCCATTGGATTAAACAATAGACGAATAAGCCCCGGAGGAAAGGGAAAACCAAACAACACCTCCCGTGTCCAAATTCAGCACTACCAGTCTGGTTTGTTAATGGGAGGTTATCTGTCACCCAGGTCTCTAGGGAGCAAAGCTGCTTGTTCAAGTTGTATAAAAGTTGTTAGATAGATAATCCTGGGGAAAAAGGCTGCTATCTGGTGCTAGAGAGGCCAAGCATAGCTAAAGAGGGGCAAAGAACATGGAGATAGATAGGAGGTTAGACTCCAGGAGGCAGAGACTGAAGGACAGATGGACATGCCTGGAAGCAGTGTCCTCCCCAGGGGTACGTTCCAGCAGCAGCTTTCTGGGTACCGACTCTCCGAGAAGGCTGTCTATAAGATGAGAAGGGTGTTTGACTCTCCAAAGGTTAGGCACTAGGATTTGCCACTCTTACTCCAGTGGTTTTGGTCATGGTTCTTATAAACTAAGAAATCATCTCACGTCATCAGCAGGTAGAATGGAAATCCTAGAGGCATGGCAGGGTGGCAGGACTTGTTCTTGACCTTAGTGACCAGAAATTGGCATCTGGAATGCACATAAGTGTGTTCATGTGTGCACAGCGCTTGTGGGTATGTGGGTGCGTGAGTGTGTATGGAGGGGAGAGG